AAATTATGAAGAATATAAAGCATTAAATTTTATTATTTAATAATACTGTAATAAAAAGAAGGCGTCAAATTTCGACTTTTATTGCAGACATCACTTGAAGGTTTGTTTTTTTTCGAACGAGCAAGTGCCCCATCTCGCTCGTTTTTTCTTCGTGAAACTGTATCGCGATATCGTTTCTAACTTAAAGATCTAATCGGAAGACTAGATGTAAATACGTTAACTTTAACAGATTAAAGACACTCTTGAAATTGTGGAAAAATGTCAAAAAAACGATCACATCGCCATTCCATAATTAATTCGCGTGACCGAATCGATTTTTTGCATCACTGCAGTGCGTCTCGTTTTCTTTTCAGATCGCTGAATACAACAGCGGGAGGCCCATAAACATGCAATTATTCATTTTTTCGCTAATCCCGGCACTGGTGTTACTCGGTCAGGTGCGCGATTTGAAATACATGGTGCCGTTCTCGATGCTGGCGAACACCTTCATGATGACCGGCTTCGCGATCACGCTCTACTACATCTTCAGCAATAGCGACCTGCAATCGTTCAAGAACGACAAGCTGTTCGCCTCGGTGGAGCAGCTGCCCCGTTTCTTCGCGACTGTGATATTCGCCATCGAAGGTATCGGCGTTGTAAGTTCCAATTGTTACGATGACGATTAGTTAATATAAATATACGTATATAAATAGCTGATCGTCGCGGCTCTTCATTGGACCGGAAAAAGAATAGCATGGAATATGAGAAATAGTTTGACGTAGGAAAACAAAAAACTGTTGCATTTACAAGCAGATGAATTCGAAAAGTAATCGCGTCTCTTTCGCGCATTTTCCTCTTTCGAGCCCTACTCGAATCCGATACGATTGTGATTCGCAGGTGATGCCGGTGGCGAACAACATGAAGCAACCGCACCACTTCCTGGGGTGTCCTAGCGTACTCAACGTCACGATGACGATAGTCGTGAGCCTATACGCCATGATGGGGGTGTTTGGTTACCTCGCGTACGGCGAGGATTCAAAAGCCAGCATCACGTTGAATTTGCCAACAGAGCAAGTGTGAGTGCGGGAGCATCTCCCTTTTGCTAAATGCTACTTGCCGTTTTAACACATGCGTTGTAGACGTGATGAGAGTAATTAATGTAATGTTTTAGTCTGGCCCAAGTGGTGAAGGTCCTCATTGCCGCGGCCGTTCTCTTCACTTACGGCCTACAGCTCTTCGTGCCGCTCGATATTATATGGAATTCCATGAAGCACTTGTTTAGCCATAAGTACGCGGCCATTGGCGAGACGGTGATGAGGATATGCATCGTTATGCTAACAGGTATAAAGTGCTTTATATCATTCGGACGCGAAGTTAAGCGGCATCTACAATGAGACTTAAGACTTAAGATTTAAGAAAATTGACCAATCATAGACCGAGAGAAAAATACAGTTGGAATGGCCATAATTTAACTATAATTTATAGTGAAT